GCAAATGTAGAATGCACATGGCAATTAATCCCAAAGTAAATGGGATGAATGGGGATTTAAATCTTGTGCTAAGGGACCCAAGGTATCAAGGAGAGAGGAGGGCATCACACAGGGAAAGCAGGGGATGACTTCATATAACAGAACTTGCCCCTAGATATTTACCTTAAGGTGGGTTTTTCTGATTTAAAAAAAAAAAAGTTGTTTCTGGAGACAGCCCAAAATCTAGGTAATTTGTATTCTTTAAGTGATGGTATCCATTTCTCTTGAGGTTCCCCAGGCCTCAGTTGACCTTAGTTCTACATACCAAGGTAACAGAATATAGGAAAAGACCTACTCTGCACATCATGGAGAAAATCTCTCAACAGTTTTGGGGAAAAGGAAAGGCCAATGGAAAGCATTTTCCATCAAGTGGGTCTGTCAAGGCTATTCCAAAAATCTGTGGAGGAGAGACAGGGACAATTCCTCCGGAACTCCTACTTTTGATTAGTGGGGGATGGAGGATGCGGGAGAGAACAAGAGGATTGCAAGTGTGCCCCTTCCAGGGCCTAAGCAATTCATCCCTGAGGTCCTGGGAAGTCAGATGAGTCAGAGAAAAGACCAAATTTAACAAAATGCGAATGTAGCATGCACATGGCTATAAATCTAAAGTGTATGGGATATGGGAGTATGACCTGCTCTCCTGGCCAGACTCCTGGGAGCAGAACAGAAGGAGCACAAATTACATAAAAGCTGAAGCAAGGCCAGGCTGCCCTGGAAGCCGAAGGAACTCCCTTTTTCCAGTATCTCCAGGTGAAGCCAAATGTGTTGGAGCATTTTGTTTCTTTAACAAGCACATCCAGTTGGGCCACACATGAAAGGCAGCCACAGTGGGCAGGGGCATTGCCCAGTAGGAAGGAAAGGAGTGAGCCCTGCAAAGAAGCTGAGTGAGCATCCAGCAGATGGCATTTGCCTGCTGAGGAAATACCTTCTTGCATCACAAGGAAGGAGAGAGCAAGGTGGAGTTGGGCAGGCCTGGGCCAGAAAGCTGCCCGACTTCAGGCACCCGCCAACAAGCCAGTTGAAGAGTCAACTGAGGAGTCACCCATAGGACACAGATACCAGTAGTCAGACCCTACTGAGGACTTCAGGAAAATATGGGGGAACTTTGCTGTGCTTGTTCTTACCTGATAGGTTACTCTCAGACCCAGGCTTCTTGGGAACCCCCATCTGCACTCTTAGGGTGGTGTCCTGAAGGACAGATTCTTGCAACCTAGAAAGATCGCTGATGAGCTTTCCCAATCATAAGAGGCACCCAAGGGACTCCACAAAGAATTATGTAGATAAATTCATATTCACCCAGGCAACTGAGAAGTAACTTGTCAGCATGAGTAGACAGAGTGAAGGGGTCTTAGGATAGAACTTTTGAAATTGGGGTCTTGCTGCCTCTTCACCTTCAATGAAGGTGAAGGGGACAATTCCTACTGAACTGTTGAGTGGCAAGTGCTTTCACTTTCCACTGGCCTTCATTTTTCCTCCCCAATTACCACTGGCCCCACCTTCTATATGTGCAGGTCTGAGACTGAAGCACATGCTGAGGCTGTGCTTTGTTGAGGAGCTATGCCTGACAACTGTACCCTTGCCAGGAATTGATCCATGATTCTGTGCCACAGCCACTCCCGTAGATTAAACACATGCAATGTGCCAGGGACTCTGTTAAGAGTTTTGTGGATTTTTTCTCCTTTAACTTTTACAACAAGCCTGAGATTCAAAGCATGAATCTGATTCTGAAAGAAGGTAAGTGTCCAGGGTAACAAAATCTAGATTTAAAACTTGGTGTGACCAACTCCAAAATCTCTTTTCAGATTTTACTTTTTCTCTCCATTGGTTTTCTCTTCTATTCCTATTATTCTCAAGATGTGGTGGAACCAGCAGAATCCACACCACCAACAATTTGGTAGATATGTAGACTATTTGTTCCTACCCCTGACCCATTAAATCAGAGTATCTCCCAACAATCTGTGTTGGGATCTCTCCAGATGAATCTAACACTTGCTAGAAATTGAGAACCACTGTTTAGTGGTTCCTCTTAAGGTTTTTTTTTTCTTTTGAATGAAAGAATTGGCATGTAGGCCAGAGGTGTGGAGAGTGAGAGGATTCACCAGATACAGAGTTGGGAGTAAAGCAGGTGGATTTACTGAAATACGCTGCTGAGGGGAGCAGCAGGTAAGACAGGAGAGGTCTGCTGTGCCAACTGTGGGTTAGCTCTCTGGCTGGGGATTGAACTCAAGCCTTAGTGGTGATAGCACTGAGACTTAACCCTTAGGCCACCAGGGAGGCCCCCTCTTAAGTTTTACAATAATATTTACATTTCTATTTCTTGCAAACATCTCATCAATCTACAATTACAGACTCCTTAGCACATATTTACTGTACATCAGTGAGCTCACTTCTCTTAAGGTTATAATATGAGATTTTAGATTGGGTTGATACAAAAGCTTTTTGTGTGAACAATCAAAAATGAATATATGAATAAAAAATTTTATGTATTTTTATTAACATATACCTTATATACAATAAAAAGGATCAGATATCAATTACAGAGTTGTCACAATTTTCATACAACATCCACCCAAACTACAGAACATTTCCATCCTTCTTCCCCAAGAAATTTCCTTTGTATTGTTTCCTACCTCCACCTCCTCTCCCCATATCCACCAAAGCTCTGAATTATTTTATCCCACTGTAGATTAGATTTGTTTTTTTCTAGTTTCATGTCAATGGAGCCATATAGCATATGATCTTTTGTGTTAAGTTTCTTTCCTTCAGCATAATATTGTATCTACGAGACTTTTCAATGTTGTTGTGTGTATCAGGAGATGGTTCCATTTTACTGTTGAGTTGTAATCCACTGTGTGAATATAGTCATGCATCTCTTAACAATGGGGGTATGTTCTGAGTAATGTGTCCTTAGGCAATTTTGTCATTGTGCAAAAGTCCCAGTGAGTGCTCACACAAGCCTCGGTGATACAGTGTCCCACACAAAAGCTATATATGACAGCCGCCATCACATCTGTAGTCCATCATCAGCTGAAACATTATCTGACACATGACTGTATCCCAATGTGCTTATTCATTAACTTGTCAATAGATGTTTGGGTTGTTTCCAGTTTGGGGTATTATGTCTGAAATTATCTATTTTTAAAATCCACATATCTTAATGAATGGTTTTGAGTTCTTATTCAAACCTATTTCCCCACATTATTTTAACATATTGTCCTATCGTTGTCTCCCATCAGAATTGTTGAGGAGTAATATCAATCTGATTATTGTATTGTTTCTTCATAGGTAATCTCTTTCTCTGAAAGGTTTTAAAATTTTGTTTTCATTGTGATGTTCCAAATTTCTAGCACTGGGCCTCCCTGGTCACCAAGGGGTTAAGTCTCAGTGCTGTCACTGCTATGGCCTGATTTCCATCCACTGCCAGGGAGCTAACCCACATGGCACAGCAGACCTCTCCTGTCTTGCCTACTGCTCCCCTCAGCAGTGTTTTTCAGTAACCCTGCCTGTTCTGTTCCCACTCTGCCTCCGGTGAATTTTCTCACCACCTGCAACTCTGGCTGACACCACAGATCTTCCATACAAAAATAAAAAAAATAAAATAAATAGAAATTCTTGTACTGTATTCTATGGATAATTTCATTGGATTTATTTTTAAGGTTACTAATTCTCTTTTTAGCTGTGTGGAATCTACTCTCCAACCCAAGGAATGGAGTGTCAGACTACAGCACCTTGTAGATGAACCTCAAGAAATGAAGCCCAAGTCTCCCTCTGGCCCTTTCTGCTGCCTTTGCTTATTTTCCATTTGTGGAAAGTCATTCTTTACTCTCTTCTTTTTTTCATCCTACTTTGGCCTTTTGACAACAGCTGGGCCATATTTTACTCTGTGTCTTCCTGTCTCTACTATATTGTCTAAAAAATAAGCATGCTATTTTATATCCCATGAGCCTCACATAGGCAGAACCATTTATTTCGATTTTACAACACAAGAATACATACATTTGCACCCCCAAAGTGTCAAATTCAAAATTGGCCTAGCTTTTGGGAATTTGAATTTATCCATTTCAGCCCATAGCACAGTTCTTCAGAGTGGAGGGGCCACTGCTCAAGCGTCATCTCTCAGAAGCATGTGTCATAGCAGTAAGCCAACGCATTTACTGATCCAACGGGATGGGCCTGAACCACGGTCCTTCTTCAAATGCCGGCTGGCTTGGTCAAGGCGCTCCTCCGCTTGCTCCTGAGGTCTTCAAACATAGTCCCACCAATCTGTGGCTTCCCAGCTTTCAGCAGATCCATGCTTCCAGAACTTGCTTTTCTTATCTGACACTGCTACTCAGAGGCCCTTGAGGTAATTTCCTGGGAAGCAAGGGAGTGGCAGACCCATTTTCCAAGTTGACCATAGCAGACTGTTAAGGAAAGAACTTTGGAGCCAGACAGGCCTGGGTTTGAATCCCAACACGGCCACTGACCAGCTGTTATTAGCATATGGTTTAATATCTTTGAGCTTTTTCCATTTGTAAAATAGGGATGATTAAAATTAACACAGAGGACCTGTGTGATAACAGGACACATGTCTGGTACTGGGTATAATAGAGTCCGTAGATGTGAGTTCCCATTTTCTTGGAATCACCATTTTGGTGAAAGTATTGGCTACATGGACTCCAGGTAAGCACTGGGGGTTTCCTCCAAAACACAGAGTCCAAAAGGAGCTGCTCTAACATCCTACATGTGGCAGAGCTCACCAGGACACACCACGTCAGGACTTTGAGGTTGCCTGTAGTCCTGCTGAATTTTGCAAGGGAAAGAAAATTTCCATTGGGTTATGCTTGTGACCTTTGAGCCAATTATCTTCAAAGCACAAGCCTGGTTACTAGGCTATATAAGTAGCTCACTCCAACCTATTGTCCCTGTAACCTGCTCCTTACTATCCACCATACGCCCACGCTGAACCAAAGGCCACCACCATGACAAGGGACCACAATGGAACCTGGGAGATGGAGAGTAATGAGAACTTTGATGGCTACATGAAGGCCCTGGGTAAGCAGGAGGCCGGGCTTGGGGGAGGGAAGGGGATTTTGAGAGGACTGTGATCTGCTCCTCCAGACAGTCACTGCGGAGTTCCACAAACCTGGGTGCAAATCCTCACTCCTCCCTGAGTAGCTATGTAGTATCAGGTAAGTCAAGCAAAATCTCAGAGGATCAGTGATTTTTCTGCAAGTGGGAAATAATAATAAATGAGATTATGTCTAGAATGTCTAGCACAGCACACGGAAAAGATACACTGACTGAAAGATACGCACACACGCACCCATGCACACACACACCTGCATACACAGGGTAAAGCCATAGCTGAGGGGCCAATGCAGTAACTCCCCTACCTTTGATAGCCATCTCTTAGATAACCAGAGAGACCTGGTATTCCCAGGAATAACCCCTGCACTGATTGCTCTTTTGTCAGTCTTGTATTGGGGAAGCAGGAAAGGAGTAGCTAACAAGTCTCTTCTTAGTCTAGAGAAAAATCAGACCCATAGACAGGGAGGAGAGACTTTGATCATATGATCAAAAACTCAGTACTAATTGACTTCTGAACTAGATTCTAAGCCAAGGCTCCATCCGTATATGTGCCAAATCTCTGGTGGGGTCTCTTGTAGAGCTGGCAGAAAACACAGACCTATGTTCTCTGGCCTGTGGGTCTAATGACACCAGGGGAATGGGGTCCAGTCACTTTGCTGGGCAGCCTTGTGGCCAGGCACTACTCAAGGAGCGTGGGCCGCCTGCCCTAGTTTTACCCTGCACTGGCTTCCTTATAACCTTTTTCAGCTTCAAAGCTTTCCATGCAAGGACTCCTGACTGGAACATGCCCCAGCACAGAATGAGAACAATAGCTGGGGTGGGTCAGAGGTCCAGACATCTGGATGCAATGATGGGCATCTCATCAAGAAGGAGAATCATGGGTTTTCCTGTGCAGCAAAGTTCTATCTTGATCATTTCCCTTGCATCAATGAGCAAGGAGAGATGTAAAGTTTCACAGTTGCAAAGTGGAGCTTTCTTCATGTACTTGAGACAGGTTTCCTACACTGACTGTCCTCCAGCGTCCTCCTGGCTATCAGAATTTTACCTCATACACCTGGGGAGGTAGGAGGAGACAAAAGTCCTTCTGCCAGAGACCCAGCCTTGTTGCTCTTATTTTTAGTACCCTGAGTGGACAATGGAAATGGGGTTCTGATTCTGTAAGTGGGGAAATGTCATGGCACTTAGCTCAGGAAGGTAAATTCTGAGCCTGATCATGCAGGTGAGGAAACCAAACCAGAAGCACTGGCACAGCTGCAGCTTTCTCTCTCACCTTGACCAAATTCCTAAACTTTCAGAATCAGTTTCTTCATCTGCCAGAAAGGATAATAGCACCGGTCTTGCTTGCTTCTCCCATTGATGTGGGATGTGGCTGTCACTATGAATGATTGAAAGCACCGCAACAAGGGCTGTTTGGAGATTTCAAGCTTCCAGCAGTACGCTAAACAGGCTGTATTCAGGGAACACATTCCGAAGGCAATTTTGTGTACGATTTTGTGACTTACTCTTAAATAGTGAAAAGTGCTATGAAGATTTTAGGTATAAAATCCAGACCCACTGTAGTTTTCAGGTCAGTAGAGGGAGCCCCTGAAACTCCTTCCTCTACCTTTAAGAGAGGCGAGCACCCATATCACCACTTCCTTTGCCCTCTGGGGAAGTGGGGGCACACACAGAATACCATCAGCTTTCCAGAAAGAATCCTTTTTCTAAAAACAGCACCCCAGCACAGTTTCTTCCACATCTACCCCGCAAGGCAGGGGTTGCTTTTCCAACATTGACAAATCAATGAAGCTTGCCTCCCTTGGCCTTTTGTGCATGAGGCCGTTGGCATTTGGAACATATGTGGAGATCTCTACAAATGCCCAGACGTGTAAATATCACTAAGCATAACTCCATTCCCTGCGCAATGACTGTCATCTTCGTGGGTTTTAATCCCGAGCACCAGGAGCCGGCTTTCTCTGTGATCTGCTTGCTGGTTCAGTGTGGAGGGAGGAATTCCAACTGAGCTGTGGGCTGGGCAGCAAACTGACTTTGTCACCAGCCAAGTGACTCACTGCAAGTATAGGTCTCCCATAGAAATCACTGGCCAGCTCATTGGAGTGACTGGGCGTGGCAGCCATGGGTGTCCTCCACATTTTCAAAGTCATGCAGTGGTCAAAGAGTGAGTACCTAGGGTAGTGCCACCTCCACACCCCTCCTTCTAAAACACCCTGTCTTCCACAAGGTCCTAGAATCTTCTTGACAGCAAGGAAAGCAGCTAGCAACTTTTTACCCAGAGAACAAGGTTATGTCCTGAGGTCCTACTTCATGTTGAATCAGGGCAGAGGAGTACGGGAAGAGTGGTCTGCAATCTGAGGATCCAGTACTGTGACAGAATACTGGGGGACAGTCCATGAATCTCCAGCTGTGGCACCAGCATGGCCAGTGGATGGGGAACCATTCAACCTCACCACCTAAGTTTTAGATGTTACCTGTGGGTGCCAGGGCCTGTGCCGTCTGAGATAGAACCAAGAGCAATCAAGGAGCTTGACTGGTGTAGACCACCAAGTGATAGCCATGCACAAGTGGTATTCCAGTTTTCTACTTTGAGGTGACAAATCACCCCAAAATGCAGTGGCTTAAAGTAACTACAGTCATTTTATAATTATCTGTCATTGCTTGGGAGCTAATGGGGCTCTCCATGGTGGTTCTTGCTAAGAGTCCTGAGTCAGTTGCAGATGGTAGGGGTTGGGGCAGCGCCATCTGACCCCTGCGTCTGGCAGCTGGTGCTGGCTGACTGTTGGCATCTCAGCTGGGACTGTCAATATGTGCATGCAGTGACTCCTGCACCTGGGTTTCCTCCCAATGTGCTGTGTACAGAGAGAGGACACAGAACCGAATGCCCTTTTATGACCAAAGATCAGAGATCACATAACATCAAGGTCAGGCCTTAGAGTGGGAAGACTTCCTCAGACTTATTTATGGTCTTTAAAGATCTCTGTGATGAAGCCTTGACTGAATCTGGGGAGAGCAAAACTGGAAGCAGTGGGGAGGCCCATTAGAAGGATACTATGTTGTTCTGACAAGAAACACTGCTTTCTTGGCTAGGCCAGTGCCCTTGTGGCTGGACAAAAGGAAACAGGATCAGTGCACATTTTGGGATAAAGGCAACAAAGCATGCAGATGAATTTGGTGCAAAAAGAAAAGAAGTTGGCCTCAGGCACAGGCCTGCATAGGAAGATGGTGATTCCATCCTGAAGTGTGGAAGACTTGGGGAGCAGTGAGTTTGGACAAGAGTCCTGGGCAGGGGGAAAGACATGCACAATTCTGTTTTGCTTATTTTGATTCAGATACCTAGTACAAAGCCACATAGAGCATTAAAATTGGCTCTTCAATATAAGATGTGGAGCTCGGGATGGCATCAGGGATGAGGATGGAAGGTGCTTTCCATTGTGTAAAATGAGGAGTCTGAAACCCAGAGAAATGGAAGGTCTTTCCTGGGTCACCTTGGCTAGGGAGTGGTGTCACTCACATGGGATTCCAGTTTGTCCCAGTTTCCAAGGCTCTGTTCTAGGTGTGGATGCTAAGCATGGGGGCAGGGAAGGAGGAGGCTCATTCTGAGCAAGGTGTCAGGATGGGAACTCCTTGGGTATACAGACAGGTAGAGAGACCCTCAGAGTCCTTGGGTAGAAATGAATAAGAGAGTGAGTGAGTGAGTGAGTGAGTGAGTGAGTGGGTGAGTGAGTGAGCTAGCAAATATCTAATGTCCCAAGGGGGATTCATTTTCATAAAATATGGATTCTTGCTGGTGCTCACCCCCAGTGAAGTTATACATGTTGCCAAGTCTTTCCTCAACCATGTGGTATCTAGTTGAATTTTCAAACAGGCAAAATGCCAGAAAGTAGAAAAAGTCCAGGTAAAGATAAGTTTGGCCCCTCCTTCTGGTCTCCCCTCGCCTGTACTGGGAGCTCCTCCACCCTGAACTCCACCCCAACTTCCACCCCTGTGGTGAGCACTAGATATAGGGGGGAGGTGACAGGTTGAGGGGAAGGAGGGAGGCACCCCAGGGTCTTCAAGCTGCCTCTGCTCACTAGGAAAAGTTTTAAACCTTTGGAGATGTCTGTGAGGGAATGAGCAGAGAGGCAGGCAGGGGCCAATCCAATCCCTCCCTAAATGTGTTATGTGGAGGAGGAAATGACGTGGAAAAAGGATAAGATTGTCCTTCCACTTGGCTTTTCTCGATGGCCTACAAGTGCTGATGATTTGAGAATTAAGGAGTCCAGGTTCAAAGCCCAGAGAAGCTGTATTTGGAATAGAGCTAGATTTCACTTGCTGAATACTTGTGCATCTCTGCTCTTTAATTTACAAAGACTGCCTGCCCTTTTAGCCTGCAACTTTAGCTTTCTTCCCAAGCATATTACAAAGTATTTTAATGTTGAGTAGCATCCTCATATTTCAACTTTATGGCTTGCATTGTTCAAAATGCAGTTATGAAAAGTATGCTTTAATAAAGTCATTTCAGTGTTGTTTTTTTTTTCTGCAGCAGCTACAAGCCATATATATTATTCAGAAATAGCTTGCCTTTGGACCTTTTCCTCTGAGATAGAAATTCATTTAACCTGGCAATAAATCAAACTCAGTGATACCTTTAATCCAGAAGAGCAGATAAAACATACTTGATAACCCTGGTGTTAAAATACCATAACAGGAAAATAATTTCCTCTGCAGAGAAAGTATTTTCGTAATCTCTCTGTGTGTGTGTGTGTGTGTGTGTGTGTGTGTATTTTACAGTTACGGGTAAACCTTTCCTTTTGATTAGAAATACAACAAATCCACCAACAGAAGATTTGGCTCCCTTCGCTGGGGTGGAGCAGAGGTGACATGATTAACTAGTCTGTGCAAATGCTATAGGGTAGCCAAGAGGCCAGGCCATTTTTCAATCCAAAGCAGTGGCGATGCTTGATTCCATTTGCATGAAGCCCCTAATAGATTCCCCCAGTTCTGGACAAAAACAATTGACTAGGGATTGTGTTTCCTGGGCAAATCAGTTGTCTGTAGACATCATAGCAGTAGACATTTCTAGCTGCCATCTATCCATCTAAGAGGTCAGGGACAAGCTATCATTTTCGTAAGGGGAGCCTCAGCAGAGAATGATAATGTGAATGGTAATGAATGTGCTTGTAGAAAAACTGTCAGGCGCTCTAGCCCAGCTGGGTAATCTGAAGTCAACATTTAAATTCTCTGTGCCTGATGTCCACGTCTGTGGAATGAAAATATACCTATGAATGATTTTGTTCTAAGTTTCTCTGTCGTTCCCGATTCTTCCTCTCCAGTTCTGCCTGGTCCTCCTTTGGTTTGGTTTATATGTGGCCCATGGCTTCTTTCCCCTCTCCTAACCAGTTCCAGCAGTGTGGTGATTGCAGCCTGGACCGCAGCACAAGGGCGAGTGCAAGAGCTGAGGTTGTTTCTGTGCAGTGAGGAAGCTGTGTCAGATGGAGTAATTTCCAGCCAGGCTAGATCCAGTGCCCGGTGACGGGCCAGCTTAGGTGAGTGAGAGAGTGGAGCAGCCCCCATTCTGACAGCTTTTTTGGAGTCCAGGGCCCTTGGATCTGGAGCGGCAGGTGGCTGTGGAGATGCACGTATATGACCGCGATATTTCACTCTGGACTGATTGCTGTCAGCTCACTGTTTGACCTGAACAGGAAGGCAAGGGGGTAGAGGCCAATGAACATGAAATACCCACAAGCCCACTGGTACCCTGTAAAGCACTTATCATCACTTTAACTGAATCCTAACAAATAGCCTTATGACTAATACTTATAAATAACACTATGAGATAAACATTCTTTCCCACACTTTGCTGTGAGAAAACTGAAATTCAGAAGAGGAAATGACTTCCCTAAGTTCACATAGCTGGGAAGTCAGCAACAGCGTTCACACCTGGATCTGACACTCACCCTCCCTCTTTTATACCAGCGCTTCTAAATTCTAGCATGCACAGAATCACTTGATCTAAAACAACAACCACAACAACAACAAAAACAAGTAGGGCCCAAATCCAATTTTAGGATGCCCCCAGAATTTACTTCTGTAAGAGGTTCCTAGGTGCCGCTAATAGTGCAGACCTGGGCACCTCGCGTCAAGAGCCAGTGTCCCAAACCATGTTGTTCCCATTAGCCTATTCATCATGTTTCTTGAACACCTACTGTGTGCCCAACCTTGAGTCACGTTCTGTGGAGACACAGAGTGAGGAGACAGCACTATTCTCATCCTCTTGGAGGTGACATTTTGGAGAAAAGAACAATCAACTCCATGAAAAACTCAGAGGACAGTACCAGAAATTTTCTTCTGTGGGGGTAAAACCTTGTGGCAGGTGGGGAATGGCCAAAAGGGCACAACAGGCTGGCAAAGACAAGGCCAGGGCTGGGCCATATGAGACTGGAGAACTGAAGAGAGGGCAGGAGTAGAGGAAGTGGACACCCAGGGAGTGTCTGGGAAAATGCAGAGCACTCTGGGGAAACTGGCCGGCGAGTGCCAGGGCCTTGGTGATGACGATGATGATGCCAGCAGCCACTGGTCACGAGCTCTTCACAAACACAGCCAAATGTAATCCTCGAAGTAACCCGTTTTGGTTATTAGCTCCACTAAGGACAGTATGACTGCTGCTTCCAGATCTGGGTCTGAGCATCTGGTGATGGCACTGAAGTTAGACCAAGGCATCACCTCATTCCCTGGGCTGTTTCTGTGGTAGAGAATGTGACACCTTGGCCCTATTTGCACAAGCACACCCTTATAACATCTAGAAAATAGAACACATTCTTTATTGGTTTTTAAAAACGTTAAGGAAGTCTTCATCTTTAGCCAGAAATACTTGACTAATTGGTCCTGTCTAATCTATTTTTCTTTCAAACGGGCCAGCAGTTGCCTGAAGGGAGAAAAAATAAACAGGAGATATTTCCACAATTTCAGGGTCAAGGTGATGGAGATGACTGTCTCTGAGGGGTCTAGCTAGCCCTTTCTGTCTTATGCTCTGGGAAACACCCACCCAGCTGCATGTCCCACTTCAGGCGGGTTCAAGGCACTGAGGCTGAGAATTGCTGCTTCCTGCACCCCGCTGCTCGGGTACAAACCACTTTCCTGGATTAAAGACTATGAAGTACTTCAGGGCAGGAAACAGCTTCTCTTGGTCTTGAGTCTTTATTTCCCAAATTTAGGTGATCCTAAGCTATTTTTGTTAACCACCACATGTCTTATGGAGCTTAGCCCCATGGCAACTTGAACCCTGCAAATGCTGGACAGGATGCTTAGTTCAGGCAGCAAGATGGAGCATTTATCACACCCCTGTTGTGTGGCCTGCAGTGTGCGTAGCTTGGACACCCCCGATTCCACAAGCTGTGGAGCTTAATTTAAATAAAACTGCCCACAAAGGAGACAGAACCTAGCTAAGTACACACCTGATCTGCTTAGAATGGAAGTACATATCCTTCCCTGTTGTAAACATTAACAAAAGTTCCATGTTATCCAAAGATCTAGACTGATAATTTCCAAAGGGTTTTTTTCTTCAAGCCATGAAGGCTTTTGTTCAGCAAATGCTTAGGAGAAAACCCAATATGTCAAATAGATAGAAGGGAGCTGCAGTAGTGGAGCATGGTGTGTGTGTGTGTGTGTGTGTGTGTGTGTGTGTGTGTGTGTGTGTACGCGCGCACAAACACACACAACACACTCAGGGGTGAGCCCTATCTGCTACCACCCTCTCCCCTCAGAACTCCCAAGGAGATATCAAGAGGCCCGAGTTTCCCTGACAATTGACGAAAATACCCAAACTAGCCAAGTGTAAGACAACTCTTGTTTCCCACTTAAGCAAAGAAATGTAGCCGGCCCATGATCTGTGTCTCTGGTCCTGAGGGCTTAGCCTTGTTAAAGAAACGAATGGGTCTAGCTGAGTACATCATAACCTCCACAACTCCCTTTGCCAACAGATATTGATTTTGCCACTCGCAAGATCGCAGCGCATCTGACTCAGACAAAGATCATTGAACAAAACGGCGATAACTTCAAGACACAAACCAACAGCACATTCCGCAACTATCACGTGGATTTCACCGTGGGCGTGGAGTTTGAAGAGTTCACAAAGGGCCTGGATGGCCGGAGAGTTCAGGTATTTGTCTGGGCTAGAGTTTCTCTACCATCCACCTGGTGCAAGGGTCAGCTATGTGGCTTCCCCTGACAGGAGCAACACAAGAGAAGTCAGAAAGGGGGACAAAATGGGCTGACGATGCTGTCTAGAGCAACTCTTGAGGTTTTGTCGAGGGGGCAAGCTGGCTTCCACACTAAGCTTATAAACAAAGGAGAGATGAAAGGATGCTCAGCTCTCCAGGGTGTGGGGTCAGAGACCAGCTCCTCTACTGATACGGCCCAGCAGGCAAAGGGAAGAGAGCGAGGTGGACTAACCCAGGGAGGGTAGCCTCTGGTGCTTAGCTCAGAGGAGCAGACAACACCAGCCCAGTCACTGACAAGGAGGAATGAGGCCTCGTTTTGCTATTTTTTTCTTTTATCCGTTGAGAAACAAGGTGTTTTAATAAGAAATGTCTCAAATTCAGGTGATCCTAAATTTTTTTTAAATAAAATGCCAATCAAATAAAAAAGTCAGATTAAATGAAGCCAGGGTTTCTCCTGTCCTGGGAACTTAAAGAAGTCTCTGGCAAGATTGTTGATTCTCTCTCAACATCACCTTAGCTCACCAGACATAAGCGAGGAGATCCTCTGCATATCTGAAGGCCAACTTCCAGCTACCTGAACTGTTTGAATATAGGCAGGACCCTGAACGTGAGCAGACATCCCTGCATGCAGAGTGGGGCACACATACTCACTGTCCAAGGACATAAGCCTGAAAGTCTGCAGAAGAGGCAGGCGCTGCCCGGAGGAGGCAAGCATGGAAGCAGCAGGGAGCAGGGCTTGGGAAACCGGACTTAGAGCAGGTGTCCTGTGCTTCAGCAGCACCACATGGTGTCACAGCCCGTGATCCATCCTCATGGTGTCCACACTCACGCTCAGTGCATCTGTCTTCAGTTTTCCAGATCAAAGCACACCTGCTCATTTCCCACAAACAAACATGGGGAGGAATCCAAGCCCATTTGTACCTAAGGATTCTCTCACTCCATTTACAATATTATACAAGAGCCCTGGGGCTACACAGCCCAGGAAACTTGGGAGTGTTCGTAGTTCATCACTTGCAGTGGTTGCCATTGACCAGTCACTGCACTCACGCAGTTTACACAACATGGGCAACTTGAAATTCATAGCCCCGATTCCTCTGTGCTGGTACCATCACCAGGATCTCTACCCTGGCTCCCAAGCTAAGGGGGGCAGGACTGAGTGTTCTGTTCCAAGTTATCTTGTCCTCACCCAGAAGAAAGCAGGTCTCCCCACCCTGTCCTGCCCTTCATTGTGAGCCCCACCCTCCCCAGGATCTCTTCTGGGTGCTTCCAGGAGTCCCTTCAAAGTCAGAGATCTCAACTCTCTCCCAAAGCAAGAGCTAGGGCTCCTCCCCTGGGTGGGGAGGAAAAGCTGTTATCATTCTCGGTGATGACTCGGAAATCAAGAGTCAGACCACTTTTTATTTCTCAGCCAAGTCGTCCTGCAGCATTGATAATCTCAAGTCAAGGTTGAATTCTACCTAAGGATTCTTGCTAAAGAAAAGTGGGAAGTGAAAGATCTTTGCAAATGCTTCCATCATAGCAGTCTTGGCCAGAGAGCCTAAGCTACTGGCCCTGGACTGTCCCCTGCAGAGCGCTCCCCGAGGAGCTGATGGATCAAAGAATCTTTCCTGAACTCTGTGGCTGAAAGCCCAATTCTTTAGACACCAGAACCAATAGGAAAATTTGTCTCAGAATTTACACATCACTCTGCTCTTCTAACCTGATTACTCAAAATGATTCATTTTCATTTGCCTTTTACTTTTGGGCATGGTTTGTTGAAAAGCAAGCCTGTTCTGACTCATTCTTTATCATGTTTGATGGTAGAGAACTCACTCTTCCTGAGATAAATCGTGTTTTTTCGGCCCTTCCCAACCCTTAAAGAATTCCTGCTGTTAATACCTACTCTTCTCTGTCACTCTACCTTCCGCCCTCCCTCCCTGCCAAGCCCACCCTCTCCCCAGGATCTGTTCTAAACCCTTAGAGAAATGTAATTCCCCTTTTCCACATCTTGACTAACACACACACACACACACATACACACACAGACTCACAAAGGAAACCAGTAGGGGTTGAAAATTACCCAAGTCAACTTTTTGCCCACTCTCCAGCAAAGGGTTTCCTCATGGGTCATGAATTGCAACCCAGAGCAGGTGCCCTGCTCAACATCACCTTAGCTCACCAGACATAAGCGAGGAGATCCTCTGCATATCTGAAGGCCAACTTCCAGCTACCTGAACTGTTTGAATATAGGCAGGACCCTGAACGTGACTACCTATTTCCTGTGACTTAACTGAAACACTTTAGCTGAAGATGGATGACAAGGAATGCGTGGGTCTGTCTGATTTCTGCTGCCCATACTTGGTGAACCATTGGGGTGCACACACAAGATATGTCTGTGTGCATGTGTGCCATGGGCTTTTGCCTCTATATGTGGGGGCATGTGCATGGGCTTGTGTGTGTGTGTGTGTGTCTGCATGGGTATTTGTGTGGGTGTGTGCTTACACGCATGCATATGTCATGCATGTATAAGCCTATGTGTGTTTGGCACTCCTTGTGCTCTTATTCACCAAATTTCTTCTTCTCATCTCCTTGGCCATCCTCATAAACACCTCTGAAAATCTCCACATTCAGCAGTTTGGAGGAGTGATACATGAATGGAGTTGTAGCAGAGGGGCCTATGGTGCCCACTCTGTGCCATCCCAGAGCAGGACAGTGAAATAGCATTGATCATGGGATGAGATCTTCTCCAAGGGGTCCCAGGCCTCCTTTCTTCCTTCCTGAGGATCATAGTTATTCCTAACTTCCTACCTTGACTTCTTTCTAAGAGAACTTGAAGCTTCTTTCAAAAACACCCAAAATAAAATTTAAAAGGCAAGTACTATTATTTACTCAACGGAATATCACACAGTCATATAAAGGAAAGAAGTACAGACACATACATAATGTGAAACAACTTGGGAGAGATTATGATAAATGAAAGAAGTTAGCCACAAAAGGCACCCACTGTGTGATTTGTAAGAAATGTCCAGAACAGGCAAATCCATAGAGACAGAGAGTGGTCGCTGAAGGGCACCCGGGAAGGGTTGCTCTGCTATAAATAAAGGGTTTCCTTGGGGAGTGATGACTGTCTTCTGGATGTTAGATAGCGTGATGGTATTACTGAATTGTATGCTTTAAAAGGGTGAGTTTTATGGTATGTGAATTTTATATCAATTAAAAGAAAAATTAGGTAACCGGGGCAGACAGTAAGCCTGAGAAAAGCAGGCATGGGCATAACAGAGCCAATAATGCATGATACAGAGAGATGCCCTTGAAGTCAGGGACCAGTCTCCTTTGGAAGGCCCCACCTCACAGAAATGCCAGAGGGGAGGGTGGGCACTCTAGGTAGCATGAGTAACTCTTGCTGGAGGGCTGGTGCACTGGGGAGGATTTAAATGTGTTAGTAGTGTCTTTCAATGCTCTTCATTTAAAGACCTGCTATTTTCTTAAAAAACAAAAAACTTTCTGGGAGTGGTTCAAATTTACAGAAAAGTTTGTTGTAAGAATGTAACAAAGAACACTCATACCCTCTACTCATGTTAACATTGTGACAATTTGCTTGACTGTATGTACTTGCACTCTTTCTATTTTTATCAACAATCTGATGCATTGCACGAAATAATTCAGCTCATATTACCTCAGAATTAGGATGTGCTTTTATATAACCACAGTGTAGTTATCAATTTCTATAAGCTTAATATTGGCACAGTTACTAGCTTTAGTTTGCTATAAAGGGGCTGTCCATAATGATGTTAACTTTGAACACCGTGGCAGGGGAAATGGCAGAGTGAATCCAACTTCCTTCTTTAATTTCTGCAAGTGCATCCCCCTTGGACACTCTCTGTTCATGCCCCGGGTCAGAAATGATGGCTTTCCTGGCTTGTCATCTGCTCATCAGCTCACCATTCTTTAACGCAATTGAGCCTCTTATTAAAGCCTCCTCTGATAAAGGGAAGGATGCCAAGTAAACACAAATTGAATTATGGAATTTTAGTTCATTGAATTCTCTCTCCTTATCTGTTTAATGTAGGCAATAATACTTCAGGTGCATAATTTTTGGTAACCGGCTTACTTGGGGGTCAGGATAACTTTTAATCTTGCCACCCAATATGTGTTATTAAGATAAAATATTAGGGCCTCCCTGGTGGTGCAAGGGGTTAAATTTCAGCACTATGAAGCTGTGAGAGGCCACTGCAGCACGAGTTTGATCCCCTGCCAGGGAGCTAACCCACATGGCACAGGAGACCTCTCCTGTCTCTCCAGCTGCTCGCCTCAGCACTGTATTTCAGTAGATGTGACTGTTCTTCTCCCCATTCTGTCTCTGGTAATACTCTCACCCCCCACCACCTCTGGCCTACACCCCAGCTCTGATATGAATAAATAAATAAATCTTTAAAAATAATAATAAAATACTAGCCCCCATGCACTAAGATTTTTCTTCTTTGTCCCTTCTGCAAAATTTGCCAAGCCCCTACTACATGTGAATGTGGATCAGGAGCAGAGCTATTGATAAAGAAATGAATCAGACCCCCTACACTGCACTCAGAGATCTTACAGCCTCATGAGGAAGCAGACAAGTAGATATACAGTCACTCTCTAGTGTCCATATTGATAGACAAGTGTGCACTTGGTGGGAATAGAAACAAAGACAAGGAGGCAGGCTGAGTGGCTGTCAAGAATTATCATCAATGGGGCCTCCCCGGTGGCGCAGCGGTTGAGCGCTGGGTTGCGAACCTGCCCACGGCCTCTGCGGCGACGGTTCGATCCCCGGCTGCTCCCCGGCCACCGGAGGAGGGTCCCACATGGCGCGCAGACCTCTCCTGCCGCCCGCTGCTCCCCTCAGCAGTGTACTCCGGTCCTTCTGCCTGCTCTGCTCCCGGCTCTGGCTCTGGTGAATTCTCTCACCCTCCCGTGCTTCTGGCTGTACCCAGTGCATGTGTAAACAAAACAAACAAACAAATAAACAAATAAATAAACATGCCTCTATAAAATAAAAAAAAAAAAAAAAAGAATTATCATCAATGAAGAGCACACGTGCTCATGTATTCCCACACACACACACTCCATGTGGATTTAAGTCAAGATTCTTTTTCAACAAAATTATTCAATTGCAGGGTCATTCAACAGTGCTGACCAAGCACCTGTTGTATGCTAGTCATTATGCTGAGCCTGGTATTGCAGAAACACACTACTCCGAGCCCAAGGCCGACAATGGCCAACGACACATGAATATTCCAGACAACACTCCCCTCCTAGAGGAGCAAAGAGAGGAGCCTGTGAATTAAGCTTCACCAAGACGCTCAATGACAGGATGGCTCTGAAGGCAGACACAGGGTTTCTTAAGAAAACATGTGGAATTTTATTTTTAATTAGCTTGGGAAATATTAACACATGTGCTTGTAAGAATAAATATTTACACAGTAAAAAAACGACATTTGATTTCTATCCTGGCCCCTCGCCTCCCAGTTTCCTCCCCAGGGAAGATCACTAGTAAGGGTTTCCTTTACTTCCTCCAGGGGACATAAACATATGCATGCATATCTACCACACTTGCTTTATGCACGGGGCTCTGTTCCTTGCTTTTTCCACTGAAACTATACGCTATGAAGATGGCTCTTCTTCTTTGGTATAGACTTTCCCCTCCTTTCAGGCATGAACCACACCGTATTTAACCAACCTCCCACTGACAGAATTCATGAGGCTTCTAGACATTTGCTGTGGCAAACAATGCTCGATATGTTGAGGGATAAAATGAGGAGAAATAAAAGTGTACATAAAACTTATAAAATGGTCAAGGTTAAATATTATTTTCAAAATAGGTAAACTTAACAATCTGTAGAAAACACAGTTGTACCAAAAAACAGACCTGAATGTGCAAGCACAGTGCGCCAGAAAAAAAAAACAAGGTCAGTGTATCTCCAACTGGGTTTAGGAGACAAAGAGGAAAAAGCAAACGTCTGGGCCTTCATAAAGGCAGAATGTGGTTTGCACACGCTTGAAAGAAAACCAGCTACCATCCGGGTCACCCCCAGGAAGGTCAGCACCAATGCAGAGCCACTGCTTGGATGGGAATGACAGCAGCTCAGAGGTGAAGGTACTAGTCTGATTTGGGAATGGAGGGGAGCACCTGGAGTAACACCCAGGGACAGTGCAGACTATTCCAAGGCAGGTGCTTGGAGAGGTAAGAGGCAAAACCAAAGGAGGAGGAATTGGTGGGGAGGAGATGTATAAATATGTACACAGCAGTTTGAGCTACTTGGGATTCAGTCTGTATGTGCCTTCTCCTCCTTGCTGGTCAGCTCAAGCGGGTTGCCCAACACCGGTCCTTCATCTCTTCCAGTCAAAGAATGCATTGTGAAATGTCGAGAGGTAATATAAAATTGTCCTGTAAAAAAGATTAATACGAAGTTATACATCCACCAGTAGTGTGAGAGTGCCTGCTTCTCCACATCCCCCCAGCTCACTGCTGTCACACACTGACCTTTGACGGTATGGTGAATTAAAGCTGAAAAACAGCTTTAATTTGCATACCTCTTATTATGAGTGAGTGAATATCTTTTTCTATTTTTGAAGATCATCTGCTAGGGTTTTTTTTTCCTTGTAAGCTGTTGGTTCTTATCCTTTGTTGAATTTCCTGATAGGTGAATGATCATTTTTTATTGATCTACAGGAAAACTTTATATATATATATATATATATATATATATAAACCATGTCATTGTTTAATATACATTATGATTATTTTTCTCAGTTTGTTATTTCTATGTTGACTTTGAGACATTTTCACATTCCAGAAATTCCATATCATTATATAGTCAAATGTATCTTTTCTCCACTGGTTTGGATAGCTATCTTTACCATATGGCCACATGAAAGAGCAGAAATCCTACAACAAAACCAGCCATCGTAAGCCAGTTTGGCGGAAACAGAGGGCATGTGTGGAAATGAGATTGGAAGGATCTTTGCTTGGCTGAGGCTGGGTGAGGGCTCTGCCCTATGGGCAAGCAGGATCTTGGGGTGGCCACAGGAATCACAGTTGTAGGTTTAGGTTTACTCAGTCCCAATCAAGACCAGACATTTGATCAACCTGGGAATTTGTCATTGCAGTCACTGGTCACTTGGGAAGGCGATGTCCTTGTGTGCGTGCAAAAGGGAGAAAAGAAGAACCGTGGCTGGAAGCAGTGGGTTGAGGGAGACAAGCTGTATGGGGTAAGTCCTGGGCTCTGCCTGGCTCCCTTCCCTTCTGCTGCACTTACACAACCTGCATTCACCTAGCCAGGCGCTGTGACAAGAAAAATGGCCCAGCACTCCTCCCCTAAGCTCCAGCCAAATGTGTGTGGTCATATAGTCAGAAAGCCATTCCCATCTGGCTCAGGGGACTCCAGGAAGAAATCTATATGGCTGGTTCTGTGAACAGCTGCAATTAAAAGGAAAGTTCAAAATGCTGAGTTAGGACGCTGAGATCCAAGGAGAAATGCAGGAACCTGTTAAAGACCAGCTGGGGAGAAATACAAGGCACAGGATAAAGATGCCCTGGAGGAGGGTGGGACCACTTACGTGATCCTGCAACAAGAGAGGGTTTTGCAGGGATGGGAGACAGGGGAAGTTGACTCTGGGAACTGCCTGTAGACCACAGGCACTGACTGCTCATCATTGGGCATCTCTACCTCATGTCAAAACAGTTTAGGTTAATTTGTTACTAGCATAGGGCCATTGCTAGCATCCTCAAATAAATGTTATCTGTCTAGATGGCTTAATTTTTCAAACTTAAAAGTCAATTTATGAGTCCAGAATTCAAATAGTGAAAAAGCTTTTACTGTACATATTGAGTCACTCCTTTGTTCAAAGAATTGCTCTTCATTCAGTCATTCACTCTGCATTCACCAATGGAGTCGGGCACATACCTGCCTCCAAAGTCAGGATTCAAGTCTCCGCAGTACCCTTTAGAGCCAGTCTTGCCTCACCTGAGACCTTTATTTCGGAGGCAACATCAACTGGTGATAAAGGGGAGGCATTCACCTTGTTTTCCATTGACGGTTTTTCCTGCCTGCTCTGGTTTGGATGATGGGTAAAATCCCCACTGGTCCCTGTGGCTAAGACAATGGATTCATCGTCAGCTTCCATGATTTGGTGTTCATCCCCACTCTCGAGTTCTTCTCTCCTCCCTCAGAGGGTTAGGAGGCATATATACATCCTGAGGGCCCTTCTCTCTAGATGAAGATCTTGTTTACACAGGTCTGGGGCCTCCCTCTGGCAGCCCATTCCGTGCCATTGCCTGATGCCTAAACTGGAGGCCAGAAAAACCCCAGAGGGGAGGGACAGCTCACCTGCCTTCCCAGGTCTTTGCCTTCCAAATAATTCCCCCTTCTAGAACCTTCCCTTTTTCAAGGTTTTATTACCTTGTGAAATTAGGTGATGTTGCTTTAATCACCAGAGTAGGAGAAATCCTGCCCAAGAGGGTAATTTCTTTGTGTTTTTCATTTTTATAGTAGTTCAAGCTCAATTCAAGTGTCAAAATCAAATTACCGCTACCTGCAGTCATGCCCGTTGATTGGATGTGTGAGATGCTCTTTGTCCAGAATGATTGTGTCCTCTTTTTTCCAGTCCTCCCCACAACACACAGACACAGACACCAAGAGGGTCAAGGGCTGGCTGGAAGGAAGGCTGGGCTTGTTATTCCCTCACCCACTTTCTGCTGTTGCAGGAGCTGACATGCCTCGACCAGGTGTGCCATCAGGTGTTCAAAAGGAAGTAATGGCCACAGGGCACCTGCCGAGCATGCGCCGCACACTCCCCACAGAGAGGTCTCCACGGTCTTTGGGAACAGCCACGGGGCCTCTCCCACTCCTGACAGGCCATCAAGACATCTGGATGAGTTCTACGCTGAATGAACTTATTTCTTTGAAAAATGGAATTAAATGAAAAAAAATATCACCTTCATACTTTGAAATCCCTTATGTCTCTCTCCCTTTATTTCTAGAATTGTCAGTTTTATCCACAAGCACAAGAGAAGATTGCCTACATGGTGGTTTTCTATATAATAGTAATTGTTTCTGTTGTATGTGCTTTTTGTTAGTTTGTTTGGGGGAGTTGGAAACTTTGCCTGCAAACACAGCATCCCCTACTAATTTTTGAATACTACACATTAGAGATTAATTCTCTTGGATAACACATTCATTTCTTCCAGATTCTATTTTTTTATGCATATGCTTCCAGTTTGTACTTTGCCTTGAGCAGCCCGAGCAGTTCTCAGGTCCCAGCTGCCCTTGTTCTTGGCAGCACTCTGTCCATCAGCCTGGAGAGTACTAGCACCCCTGGGAAGGACTGGTACCCCTGCAGAGGGGTCACTAAGCACTGCCAGGCAGCCAGAGCTCAAGTCCTTCCACTTTACCTCTTAGCTAAGGGACAATAGGCACATCTTTTTGCCTCTCTGTCCTCATTTTCCTCTTCTATAAGATGGGGAAGACAAAACTGGCATCTCCTTCTCTGGGCCACTGGGAGGATTAAGCAACTTAATATGTACAAGCAATTTAATATGTGCTTGGAATGGGAGCTGGTATTTGGTAAGGGCTCATTCCCTGCAAGGTCTGATCATTATGTGAAGTTACTCCCTCCATGATCCCAGGGGAACAGTTGAGTAGATGTTAAGTAGCAATAGGTCGGTAACTCCAAGGTCCCCTGGTTCTTCCAGAACATTAGGTTCATTACTCTGAGCAGCATAATATTTTCCTGCTGAATACACAAATGCAATAGTACACCTGAAAGGGCAGAGTAGTTAATAGGTGGATTTATGGTGAATCATTCACGAGGTCCTGGGAAGTCATCTCCTTCATTCCTTGCATCAGGGCCTGGAACCCCATCATTAGGCAAGGATTGCCTTCGAAAGGCAGGTTTATCCCAAGTGGGGTAGTAAATGGTGCTAGCATACCCTGGTATGATTTGAGTGATCAGATCATTCATTGATCCTGGGCATCCTGAATGGGATTGTGGATGGCAAGAAGGGCTATAATCTCACTGTGTGGCCCAGGGCCAGCCTTGCCTCAAGCTCTTATGACAGGCAGCCATGCTGTGAGCCTCCTGGCAAGCTGTGCTCCCCAAAAACCATGACGTGTTCACAAGGCAAGAAAGCCAGGAAACTATTGAGCAGACTGTCATGCTGGTTGGGGACCTAGCTGCAGGGCTCCCATGGGCATCAGGGAAGACAGGTGCTCTGGAGACAGACTGGAGACCAAGTGGAGGGACTCATTAAGCTACCCTTGACCCTAGCTCGCCAAGTTTCTTTAAGAGCCCATGTTCCCCAATTGATTGCATCCAGTCTTACCCTTGCCCACCACAGCTTCAAATGACCCCCTCCTTTGTCCCTCAAGAAAACCCTATTGAAGGAGATCTCTGAAAAAGCACTGTGAACTAACTAGAAAACACTCTGACAAGGAAGGGGGTAATATTTCATGGTAATTTTTAATCCTAAGTTTTCCAAAATGTGTTCTAGAAAAAGTTAGACTCCCCAGACTTTGTGGAAAGTTTATGGTCACATAAACTTCAGAAATGCTGAAACTACATCTCCATACGTCTTAGAAATGCACAGTGAGAATGAGCCTTTTTACAGTTCTGAGAAGTCCTAGAGCAAAGAAGGCCACCTTTAGTCCCTAGGAACCTCCTTTAACCATTAAGTTTCTCTTCTGTAGAGTATTCTGGGAACACTCTTCATCCCCTACTGTGCATGGCACATTTTCAATTACAGAAAGCAAGTATATTTAATCCTCCCATTTTCCAAGAAGGACTTTCTCATAGAAAAAAAAAATACTCTTTCCACAAATGAAGGGTCACCGAATGAGTTAGTGATGGTAATCATTTTACCAACCATACTTTTTCAAATAAGATGCATCTAAACTCAGAGTTCAATTTGGAGGTTCCCAATTTAGTTTTTCAAACATTTATATTTTATGTATTTATGCATTCAAGAACTGGGGTGTAGGCCAGAGGTGCAGTGGGTGGAGGGTGATAGCATGATAAGGCTGAGACTTAACCTCTACACCACCAGGGAGGCACTGGAGGTGCCCAGTTTAAAGCTGGGGCATGTGTTTGGGACCAGAACCTACTTTCATTCCTGCACTCACTGTGGATGAGCTAGGGCAAGACACCTGCCTCTGTCCCTCTGTCCCCTCAGGCAATTTCAGAACCCAACCAGGACAGCAGACATGACCTCAGCAATGACACTGTTGGGAAAAGGGTGGAAGTGGTCGCCTTGCAAGACGCAGCCAGAGGATTACACTGAGAGGCAGGGCTGGAGGGAAAGACTCTCAGAAGCCAGAACCCGAACCTCCAAGGTGTCAGGTGAGGTTGTGGTTGACTATAAACCTGTGGGCCTCATCTCAAAAGTTAAAGAAAACTTTTCTCCTGAAAATCCTGGCCACACTTGGGCAGCAGAGAGCCCTGAGCCTGCCCCACTCCCTCCAGGTGTGTGACCAGGCAGCAGTTACTTTCCCTCTCTGAGCTTCCGTTTCTCTATCTGTAAAGTGAGGGCTATAGCGACTGCTTCAGAGGGTGTAGCAGGGATTGAATAAAATCTTAGCAGAGTGTCTCTCAATACTCAATGTGTCAATACTCTGTGTGTGTGTGTGTGTGTGTGTGTGTTCATACACATCCTCCCCAGCCCCACCTATTTAGTACTTACACTACACACGAGGTAGTGATTCCCTTCATTAAAACTCTTTGCTTTCTAAAGTTTTTAGCACTGAGACCCTCACTTTTTTTCCAAGAGGACTATTTAAAAACAGATTCCCACCCTCTCCACCTTCCAGAATCTGCCTCTGAGGTCCAAGATCCCAGAAATCTGTATCATTATAAAGTTTCCTATAGGAGCCAGGCAAAGCCCCCTTCAAACCTTGCCTCATTCAGTTAAAGGCTGATTTGCCTTGAGTGTGTTTTCACACATGGGCCACGCACAAGACACCCTCTCCAGGGAGACTGCAGGTCCATGTCCACAGGGAGTCAAAGGACAGGAGCAGCACCCACACATTTTCAGTTGTATCAGGGCCCCTGCCACATGTACTGAGCTCTGTAGAGAAGAGGTGTCACACTCTATGGAGCAGCCAGGGTGCTCCTCAGACCAGGCCAGGTCATGAACACCAGGAGGCTCCACCAAGGGTAGTGGAGGTCAGCACAGGCCTCCAAGAACAGTGTGGAGACAGACCAGGGAGAAGCTCAGCATTGTGGGCAGGAGGCTGGGGGAGGGGAGAGGGACTTGGGCTCACCTGTTCAGGGGCTATTGTAATATGTAGTTCAGAGGAGAAGCTGGCAGCAGAGCCAAGGGTGGCAGCAGGGAGGAAGGAAGACCATGAGCTGTGCTGCAGGAGGCCAAGGCTGCAGGAAGCACACCAGGATGTGAGGCAACACAGAAGGGCAGCAGAAGGGCAGAGGCAGCGGGAAGGCCATGAATTGGGAGAGGTGTGCACAGGAGCGGGGACAGAGTGAAGGTGGCAGAGACTGACATGTCCCCCCCCTTGTGCACTCTCCAGTGGGAAATGTCACCCCTGTCCTGTACCTGCCAGCCCCTGCTGGCTGGAAGGAGGGAGGCCCGAGCTGGGGCTGGAGGAGCAGCTTGGCTGCCACAGACAGTTTTGAAGAAGTGATGGATGCCCAGGGGAGGAGGTGAGAGGAAAGAAGGGGAAGGGGAAAGGAGGAGGAGGAAGAGAAAGCAGGGGAAGGAGGGGAGAGGACAGAGGAGAGTAGGCAGAGAAAGGGGCAGGAGAGAAGCCAAAAATGGGAGAGAAGAAGGGAAGGGAGCAGAGGGGAGCAGGATTGTCCAATGTACCGGTGTCCCAGGGATCAGCAAAAAGGGACAGTGAGGGGGGCGGGCACCAGGAGCCCAGTGTTAATGATCTTGCACCAAAATGGGGCTTCGAGGTCCTCTATATGAAAACATATTTTTAAAATTGCTGAACGATGCATCTTCCATAAGGGCAGTGACGTAAGGGTAGAATAAGGAGAAAAACCCAACACGCTATTGGTGAAAGCCCACTAGGGAAGTTGTTTCTCTCTCAAAGCAGTGGCCCACTCCATTCCACTCACTTTGCAGGAGGTTAGGGAGGAGGAGCAGCCAGCAAGGAAGGCAAAGAGGGAGGGGAGGAGCGGCCAGGGGAGGGAGCAGCTTGGGAACAGGGCTGTTCTGCTGTGGGTGTAGACAAAGGAGCAGGTGTGAGTTATGTGTTGGCTGATGAGGGTACACAGACCACAGTTGGAGCAATAGCAACTGAGACACACCCCAGGGACTTTCTCTGGTTTTGTCTCCCTCCAAACACAGGAAAGTTGAAGTATGACTAGGCAAGTGACCGGAGAGCAAGCATGCTCACAGGAGCTCAGGAGACTTGGCTGTGTCCTCAAAGACAGGAAAATTGATGTTTTCAGCACCTCAGCTGTTCAGCTTTTTCCAAGACAATGACAGAGGAACCCATTTTACAGATGAAGAAACTGAGTCTCCAGAGGCCACACACTCACCCAGACCTCACAGCTAGGAAGCAGCAGTGGCATATTTGCAGGGAGGTGGGTGTGTCTCCAGAGTCTAAGACCCTCCATTAGGGGTTCCCAGTGGTGCTCCCCTGCTCCAGGGTACAGACTCTAACAGGCTCCAGACCTCTGGTATGTCACCATTAATGCCTTTTCTTCCAATCATTTGAAATAGGCTTTATTTTTCTTAAATCAGCGTGCATTTTGAAACTCCTTCAAGACTAGTTGTGCTTCAGGCAAAGTCACTGCACATGCCTTGTGTGTATACACTGGCCCTGAGAGTTAGGAG